CACTGAGAGATTAATCATTTTTATATCAATATTTTTGTACCTGTCTTTTCTTTCGTCATGATCATGGATATCAAGGTCATTCCGTGTGTTGTGCTGGTACTGATGGTCATGGGTGATACTAATGCAGCTAGATTAAAGAGACAGGCACATGGTGAGTTTCATGATCAGAATTATAAAAATCTTTGCACATTTTTGTTGAGTTTTTTTCATTAATTAAATTGTATTTTCCTCTCAAATTTTAATTAGAGAAGTTAGTGCATCTCATCGGTTTAATGTTCATAAAAAAAATTCAATACTAGAGTTTCTTCTTATAATTCCTATTTCCTCTTTACCATTTTTCATTGTGTGCTCGATCAGTTTGTACATGAGAATTAAATACATGAATACTTGCAAGAATAGCAATTATTATGAATTTTATTTAAATCGAATTACTATTTTTCAAAACGTGACTGGCGGAATTTGACACATTATCACTTGATTAAATTGATGGAATGGAAAAACTCAGACGGAATTATAAAGAGCTCATCGAGACCTTCAAAATAATCCACAGTATATTCTAATGAATCACATCGTGATTTTAGAAAGGGACATGGGGAAAAATTTTAAAAATTTCAATAACACCACAAAAACGCAGCGAAATCTCATTCAACTGATATAATTTCAAAGATATGTTCGAAGAATGCAAAGAATGTTATTCACAATGGTATATAAATATTCCCATTCATTTGCTTTGGACATCATTCACTAATGGATGAATATGGAAAATAACCGGTCGGTAAATTATCCCATTAAAACAATAACAGTAAAATTTAAATATATATTCGAATGAACTAATAAATAATGAATGGATTCCTATCATACGAGGAGTCATCAATCTAGAATTCGATATTACTCTGCAATTCATATCCTTTAATGATTAATAGATCATCAATTATTCGAGTTATTCCAACGAGAAATATAACAGGAATAATGATTACATCCCATCGCGGATTCCCGCGGAATGATTGGGATTTTGTTGATCTCATGAACATTTCAATTTCCGATCCTTGAGGAATTATTTTTTATCCTTGAATCGTAGTCTTCTGTTAATCCGAAATTTCCGGGATCATTACCATCCGAAATATGTCCAAGAAGTCTTTAATACCTTTCGGTTTTCCCCCGTTGAGTCATGACACCAAAAAAAACAGCGATTGCATGAAGAATTTTTATTTATCGAGAAATTAATCGCCAGAAAATATTCCTGTTTACCTCAGGTGTCCCAAAACTCGTCATTGACAACTGGTCTTTCGCCGTCGGTGAACAAATACATTTTGCACGACAAAAAAAAAATGATGAAAGTAACAGGAGGGGGAATCCCATCGCTATATTTGAACCATGACCTGCTTTTTCGTTTGTCACCTTGAGTCACTCGCTTGTATTTTCTTATCGATGACATCTCCGTGACATCCGCCGGTTCTTGTATGCAGCAAATACTGGAATGATATCTACACTATTAAATTCACGAAAAACAAATAAATTTGACAATCGAGACTGCAAAATTATTCGTGATTAATTTTTTCTACTGGTGATCAGTAGGGATACGATTTTATTGACATTTCATCATCATGATATCAGATAAAATATAACAGCATTTGGCATTGATAACATTTTCCAGAGTCATTGCTCAATAATAAAACGCAATAGTAAGGAAAATAAAAAATTAAAATCATAACTGACATATTAAACCCTCAAAAGCCCTCCTCTTTCCATTTTCCAAAAAGGTGAATTGCCCACGTTTGGGGTGGATTCAAGCAACCCTGGTGATCTTGAACCAAGACCATGGAAACGTGTGGTACCACGTGACACGCGAAAAACAACAAAATCTAACGAAGCAATACCCGATTACGACACGATATTGGGCCCGACAGAACCCTCTGATTCTGAATCTGGTGATGGCAATGATCCCGACACCGCTCCTCCTAGCACTAAACCCAAGCCACCAGTATCACCAAAGGCACCGACGAAAAATCCACCTAAAAATACTCCCAGCACTAGACCGAACCCTGGAGTTAAGAGGCCCAGGCCGAGTCCCAAAATTCCACCCAAACCTCCATCTGATCCTAATGCAATTGGAGGTGATAGTGGGCCCGATGATACTCCAATAACTCGAATTAATGTTCTCCCCGCATCAACGCCCAATCCTAGGCGACCGCCCCCTCCGAAACCCGATAAACCTGAAGAACCAGAAGAAAAGCCTGAAGATCCTGAAGAACCGGAAGAAGAACCTGAGAAGCCGGAGGAAGAACAGGAGGAACCCGAGGAAGAACCGGAGGAGCCTGAGGAAGAACCGGAGGAACCTGAAGAAGAACCCGAGGAACCTGAAGAAGAACCAGAGGAGCCGGAAGAAGAGCCTGAGGAACCAGAAGACAAAAAAGAGCAGCCGAAGCCTAAGTCGCCTCCAGTTTCAAAGCGACCCCCGAGGCCTCCGCCAAATACCAAATCTCCAAACCCCCGGACCCCTCCTATGTCACCCCCCAGTCGGGAACTACTTCCTCCTCCAAAACCACCGAGTGAAGAAGATCCTGAGAAAAATCCGAACGAGCAACCAAATGCTGAAGATGAAACTCCTCAGGAGCAGCCGAAAACTCCTAGTGGAAGAAGACCTGAGACAAAGAGACCTAGACCAGGACCTGGTTCGAAAAAACCGCCACAACCGAAACCTCGAGAAGAACCAGATAATCCTGACGATAATCCTGAATCTCCAGGACCGGGAAATGACGAAAATCCTTCCGAAAGACCCGTGAACCCGAGAGCTGGCACGAAAACACCACGACCTAGGGGGAAAAGTCCCGGGACAAAAACACCCAACAGAAGATCAGGCCCACAAAATCCCGAAGTCCCTGAAGACGATCCTGAGAATCCTGACGCAAATCCGGAATCTCCAGAGCCAAGGGACAAAGATCCTTTCGCTAGCAGAAGACCGGGGACTAGAATTACCCCTCCTAGAAGACCGCAGCCCACGACTCCGGTGCCGACTCCCGAGGAAGATTTCCAAAATCCTGACGACAATCCTGACTACCCAAATCCCGATAACGAAGACCCGAACCCTGACGATGCACCTCCGCAACGAGCACCTCTCCCTTCAAATACCAGACCCGGGACAAAGACTCCTAGACCGACCAGAAGACCAAGACCTCAGCCCCCCGTTCCTGAAGATTCTCAAAATCCCGATGACAATCCAGAATATCCAGACCCGGACGAGACCATAAACCCTGACAATTCTCCAGCAGTGACACCTCCTCCCTCCAAAACACGACCAGGAACTCGACTTCCAAGGCCCAAACCCCCTGTCAGACCCACCCCACGCGGCCCAGAAAAATTCCCTGAAGATTCTCAGCAACCAGACAGCAATCCCCAATTCCCTGAGCAGCCGGATGAAGACGCAACTCCTGACGCTGAGCCCGTGACACCACCCCCCTCAAAACGAAGACCAGGAACAAAAAATCCTCCAAGGCCCAGACCCAACAGAAGACCGAAACCACCTGCATCCCCTAATACGGACGAAACTCCCGACGAGAATCCGCTCTTCTCCTCCCGCTTCGGGGATGACCCCGAGGACTCAGCCAAATCGCCCTCGGCCCCTGCACCTTCCGCAGCTCAACCTCCTTTTACTTCTCCAGGCAAGGCGCCTCCCGGAAGTCCAGGTACCCCATCATCAGCGAACGCAAATGCCCTTAGTTCTGCCTCTAGCTTCGGTTCAGGCGCAAGCGCTGGAGCAGTTGCGAGTGCAAGTGCTTCATCCAGCGCTAGTGCATTTGGATCACCTTGGGACTCATGGGGTCCCACGGGCGCCAACAGCAGCCCATGGGGAACAATTCCAGTAATTCCTAGCACAAACCCGGAAGGACCCAATGCAGCTCCACCAGTAAAACCGTCAAAGCCTCCAACAAAATCACCTCCATCCAAACCGATCCCTCCAGGATTCAATCCATTCCCAAATCCTTGGGCATCGGCGTACCCTCCGATCCCCAGCCCCTACAATCCACCAGGTGCACCAGCTAATCCTCCTGTCAAAGGAAAAAAACCAACTGGCGGACAACCAAGACCTCTCAACGGTTACACCCCCATCGTCAGCATCTCGGGTACTTTTGACGCAAATGATGCATCATCCGGTTCAAGTTGCTCTTCAACAAACTGCAGCCCTTCATCGATAAAACCAAGCAATCCATCCTACGCTAATCCCAATTACCAAAGCTACAATCCCACTCCGGTTAATGGTTTTGGATCGCCAGTAAATTCAAATCCAATGGCCTACAATCCTAATAGCTATTCCAATCCCAATTACAACAATGGCAATCCATCCCAGGGATTCGCTAGTGCTGGGAGTTTTGCTAGTGCTAGTGCCAATGCTAACGGAGGGAGTCCTGGATTTCAATCACGCATAAATACCGGCAGTTATCCAGGAGATAATGAGATTTCCGGATTCTCCGGGACTGGGGCAGGTAATGATAACAAAAAAAAAGTGAATCATAAAGAGCGAAACGCAGGGGATTTGGACGGTGGAACCTCGGGACAAGGGGAATGAGGAGCATAACTACCTGACTTATGTGCACGAGAATTATTACAATTGTTTCTATGCATGTGAATGTTAACCTGTCGGAACGATGATGAAATCTATTGTGATTGCGTTGTAATTAAATGAATCCGCGATTGTGGAGATGGCAATCTGCTTGAGTGCTAACAGACTGGGGATTGCGGATTGACAGGGAAATATGAGAGTGCAGCATGTTGAAACAGGTTTTTTATTATTGTTTGGTCGAGGTTGCCTTTTCGTTGAAGAAATTCCAGAGTTGCGTAAAGCTGGAGACTTCCGTCTAGGGTTTCAGGATTTTTCTTTGCATGCGGATGATTCGTGTGTGTTGGCTAATTATTTCAGTGTTCTTTTCAAATTATTTCCAGAATTTTTTTAATGGGCATTTTCATTCGATAGGTTCTCCTGTTTACACGCCTGCGGACTTTGATGCTCATATCAATCGCATTCAGCAGCAGAATCTAGCTCTGCAGCGACAAATTCAGGAGCAGATCAGGCAGCAACAGGCGCAGTGAGTTTTTTATTCGAATAAAATATTTCATTGCATTTATTGCTTCTGCTTCTTTCAATCTTTCGTCACTCGGGATCATCAAATGATCTCTCAAAGACTCATCAAAGAGTTGAAAAAGGAGATGAATAATTATATTATCTTGTAATAATGGTTCATGCGGTGACGAAGGGTTGATTCTATTTAATTTTCCTTCTCTTTTTGGTGGTGGTAATCTGTGCGAATCTATCTCTCTTCATTTCTGTGTATTCTCTAAGGGCAATGGGCTCTTGGGCAACGGGTATGGCTTCTATAAACGACGGATCCAGACCTGTTAATCCTAATACCCAATTATACAGCAATACTCAAGTTAACCGGGGAATCCTGCCTCAACCGCCGATGAATATTGGGGGACGTTTTGGGAATCCCCCGGTATATTCTGGTGGTTATGATGGTTTGAATTATCCAACGTACAATGGGAATAACGATAGGTGACGCTTTTTCAAGATCATTTTTGAGAAAGAACTTGTGGAGTTATTTGATGGGATAACAATTCATCTAGAGAGAGAAATTCATGGAAATGCCTGGTCTCGTGTTAAAATATTCTTTTGAAATTTTGGAAAATTAAATTTGAGAAGTTTATTTCAGAGAGCGCAAGGTTTTTCTATCGAATTTTTTTACTCGTTGTATGACGGAAATATGAAAAAATGATTTTGCATTGAATTCAGATTTGGAAACGCCGGTTTTGGATTTCCGTCTGGAGGGGGAGGATTTCCATCCATGGGAGGGGAATTCCCGTCTGGAGGTGATGGCGCCTGGGCTTGGGGAGTTGCCAATGCAGGACCTAGAGGTAATTCACAGGCTGGAGAGATAGGACCTGTGAGTATTGATCGATTCAAGGCTGATATTTTGAAGAGATGATGCATTATGTTAAAAAATCGTGGAAAAGACGTACGAATGGAAAAAAATAAGGATTAAAAAAGACCAGTTGTGGAATTGTTTATGACTATAACTTTTTGTCAATTATCCTCATGCGATGATTGAAAGCTATTCCTCAAAAAATATTGTTTCGTCAGTTTCCATGCGCCACCCAATCTACTGTACACATTTTTCAATTATATTCACTCCAGTACCAACGAAAAATTTCCGAGAAAATTCTACAACATGGATAAAATGAAACTCACCCGGTTGAATTAAAATAAATGACACGTCAAACGTCGACGCATGTTTTTTTAAATATTGCTCATTACATTCGCGGATAAATCTGATTTTTGAATTTTTAGGTCGCTCCTGGATTTGAATCTCGGTTCGCCGAAGACACTCCATCCCAGGGTGGCAGTTCTTACAGCAGTTTTTCGAGCTCAAGCTCCAGTTCTGGGGTGGGACCAGACGGTCAAGTTCACTCTCGCAAGAGTGTAACAACTGGAATCAATGACAATGGAAGAGTTTCGATCAAAACAGTTCACGATCCATAAATCCATCCAGTCACCGTAACACGCCTCATCAATTACTCCTAGATAACAATTTTAAGAAACTCCGGAACTCATGAATGTTCCACGCTTTTGCTTCCAAATTAATTCATAAAAAAACGATTTTACGATTCGAATCATGATTACTTGTGTTGTTTTCTTCTAATAATATTTATTGTCACAGTTTATATTTGATAATGTGCCAGTAAAAAATAAGAATTTCATTATTTTGTAGACACTTAGACGAATGAATAAATCTTGAAATACTCAACATTCGAATTAATTGAGGCAATAATTTTTATTTTGGGGCATGATTCACATTCGCATTATGATAGCCCATGAATCATCTCAAAAGATCTTCGTCTGCAACAACTTCTAGAATTAAATAACCCAAGGAGATAAAGCCTTATCTCATTCCAGCCTCAGTATTGGACGCAGTTTTGCTGAATGGTGGGTGGATTTTATCGTCTATAAAATCTCCACGAGTCATCCAGGAATTTTGGCCACGAGGTACACCACCACGTGCAAACCCATTCGAATAATACGGATTTGTTTGTGGTCTCACAAAGTGGTTTTTAGGGGGCCCGAATGACGGGACAAAATTACCCGGGACTTGTTTGTGACTCTGAAAATTAAATGACACAACACTTTATCCTTTTTGGTATCTGAATAATATTTGCGGTCTTTACGCATGATTTTAATTCTTGAAACCAGTCACGTAATTCAATCTAATCGATTAATATTAATAAAAAAAATTCAATATCTGTCATTTTTTCTATAATTCTTAATTAATATAATCCTCTTCGCTATGTTGGATGACACATTCGATAAATTTGCACATGAAAATTAAATACATGAGGATTCACCAGAATAATGGATAATTAACTTATTATCAGGACACGGATAATTAACCTATGGATTTATAGATTATTTGGGCATTACCTGAGGGCCGTATCTTGAAAAGTCTGGAATATTCTGAAAATTCACTGACGGCGTTGTGTCGGGATGAATTCCGCGGAAGCCATCGATCACTGGAATATCTTCGACCCTGATATCTCTGGTTTTGGTGATAATGGAGAACGTTATCGTCGTTATTATATTCCCTTCTGAGTCCCTCCTGCTGCTGGACGAGACATCGCATAGACCGTTCTGACAATTCTCCAGAGATTTTTTAACAGGAGAATCATCCAGATGAATGCATGTCGAGGGAATTTCATTCTGAAATCGTTGAAACCGTTTTATGAAGAGTTTCTCAAAAATTCACCGGCCAAGACGGAGAGAATTATTCCGCCTCCTCATTACACCCGCAGCTCTAATGATCCTTCATCGGCCAAGATATTCGTCATAATCCGAGAACTCGCGACGAACTCTTGACCCCGCGACAATTCTAAGTATGCTTTTACAGCCTCTCAACGACTCTCTATAAATCCATAACGACCTGAAGCACTTTTACGAGCGAACCCGCCTAAAAATCTATTTTGAATTCACTCGGTAGGACAGGTCGTTCAGCTCCAACGATTGTATGTGGTGCAATAAATTTCCTCCCCTGGCATTCGTTGTATATCTTATTCCTTTCCAGTTAACGACTTCAACCGCTGAATGTTTATGGTCTAGTGTCTAGTTCGAATCAAACACTCGATTTTCAGGTATTGTCGAGCTCGAAGAGAGATTTTTAGCGAGAAAGATTAAAAATGTCTAATTAACACGCGATAATTTCGACACAAACAGATTGATTGATTCATGAATGAAGAGAGAAAACTAGGGAAGTAGAGATATTGTGGAAATGATAGACTTACAGGTGTCGAATCATAAGAACTTCTGGATTTATCCAACTTCTGCGGTTGCAATACGGTACTCATTTGGGGTAGAGAGTTGAACTGTTGAGAAGCACTCGGTGGTTCAGCCACTGAACTTAAATCCATGAATTCAATAAGATCTGGCTTTGACGCGTATGAAGTTAGACTCAAACTTCGTTTCTCAGGTTCGAAAGCAATTTTCGAGGATACATTGACGCATTCAATGGCGCCCATTGCCCAAATACAAATAGTTACGAGTAGTTGTATTTTATCCATTTCTAGTGCTCCGAAGGTCTGCGGATGTTTGTGAAGACGAGTGACGAGTTTATTTCGAAATTGTCGATTGGAGATGTCTCGGTGAATCTGTCAGCACTTGAGGAAGGGATAATTTGTTTCGGATGTGCATGAGAATAATGAGAATATGAAGATTGCCACAATCAAGGACATCTTTTGACTGATTATTTGGGGAGATAAGAGAATAGATGGAATTTATTATCGGAATTAATCTGTAACTATTCGATTTTGGTGAATTACCACTGAGACTCATTTATTAAGACTGATTTCACATTGAATTTTAGGATTACGAAATTATTTTGAAGAAAAATAATTGAAAAAAAAATCAGAATGAAAACATATGCAATCAATAATTAATTCAAGTGTATTATTTTTGGTGTAGCAAACTGACGGGTCATAAATGGCCTACCAAGTGCAAACGGGGTATATTCTTCAATGGCATTATCCTATCTATATACTTGCCCTATGTACCATGTGACTAGGGTGGAATGAACACTTATAAGCAGAATGCAACCCCATGTGAAACTACCGTGATTGCACCCTGGGCTTAAAGCAATTTCAGATACTGTCTGGCTCGTGCACACGAGACCCTAACGTTTGACTAAGGGCTGTGGGAACAAACAAAAGGGTTTTTGCCACCCTGTCGCATTGAAATTCATTAACAAGGCACCTAACACCCTTTTGAGTGCCTTTCAAGTCACTACAACTCTGTCCCAACGGACCTTTTGACTCCATTATATTATTATCAATCTCAATTACGCCATTCTCCAGGTGAAAAGCGATCAGTTCTCGTGATAACAAATTTTTACGGAAGCAATTGGATCCGCTGGAAAAAATATAACTATACGGGTCTAACTATATCTTGAAGAACATAATATCAGGGAGATAGAAATTGGCAAATTCGTCCTGATGAATTAATTCACGGGCATGAGGAAATAAATTTCTAAAGCACTTGCACCCCACCACTTTCTAAATTGTAGCTGGTAATTACCTGTTTATCCATCATCGGATTTCTTTTCACACGTCGACTAGTCCCCATCCACCACTCGACGTTTCCCAAGCGTCTCGTATTTGGAAGCATTTGATGAAAGAAATGTAGCAACTAATGTATCGTGACTAATCGTTCCGAAGGGAGATATCCACTACACAATTACCAGACTATCGAGAAAGATAAAAAATAGGCAAGACCGAGTGCACAATACTGGAGTACACGAATGAAGCGGAAAATGATGGGGATTTCCGTCATAAATCATCCCACACCATCGATTGCTTCATTCCATTTTTTTTTTCTTTCTTTTTAAACTTTCCAGGACAAAAAGAGTGATTAGTGGATTTCTTTCGAGCCTACTAGATCCTCCATTGCGAACGAGGGGATGAAGAACTTGCAGATCGTTTGTCATTTTAAACAAGATGTCGGGCAGAATCATCATTAATTATCGGGCGATTTCCTGAGGAGATGCTGTGAAAATGTGGATGAAATTACAAGAGTCAACTGCGACATGACTTATCTTATAGTTTGACGAATTATTTCCTAGAATTCATTGGGGGGAGTTTAAAATAATCTTTCGATTTTTTTTTTTCTTCGTAAACATGATTTTATACGCACTTGTAGTCCAGAGACCGAAATAACACGCGGAGGTGGCCGTAAAAAAATGCAAAAATCAGAGATTTATGTCTTCCCTCCCCGGGCTGTTTTAGACTTGCCTGCCAGCGAATTAAGTACGTTTCAGAATGAAAAATATTCGATGGAGAGATATTTATAATTAGGTGATTTGCGTGATGAGAGGTTTAGGGTGGAAGTTCTCGGGATAAACGGAATTAATTTCAGGGGAGATAATGGTTAAAGGAAATGAAATTCATTCGCACGTTGAAATACATTCATGTTATTTCAATATAGCGTATACATTTACATAATATATCTGTTCACTATATACAGTCTTTGATGGGTTTTGGTTAAACAACCTCGCTATTTAAACTATGTACAAAAATACAAAAAACTTGGCACTTGGATACCTACAACAATTGTGGAAAGCGAATAAACGTAGATCACTCTATCACAATCATGTCAAAGATTCCATAATTCTTTCATCTAATCTGTTCTTGACAGTAACCATTTACAGGGCAATATGTAATGATAATACATTTGGATATGCTCGGCAGTGATAATTTTGTAATGGCAATTGCAAAGCTGTACTCGATACGTTATTTTCTACTTTTGTTACATCAAACATTTCTCCCATAATTAGAGTCTAAATGATAAAGAAAAAAAAAATGGAGATCCTCTGGGTGTCCTTAAAAGCAAATCAACAGTCATCTTTTCTCTCGAGATTAAAAATACATCTCAGTAAGTACCGATTGGACTATTTACAACAAAATGGTGAAATGTCTGGGGATAAAATGGAAAAGCCAGTCTTCTATTCATGGAGAGGGAAATGGTTTTGAATTCAAACGTATCTGGTTAACTGGGTGTGGAACTCTTGGAGGCAGACAATGAGTTGAGAGAATGTTGGCCTCTCGTCTTGTGACATGGCCCAACAATACGCCATCACAGCAAAAAGCTCGTCTGGACAGTTTATCGGCTGTGCAAGTCGGTAACCATTTCTGAGGTATGAGGCCATCTCGAATGGATCTACTTCCACGTATGGCTGTTGAGCCAGTGTTGTCAGCTCCCAGAGGAGAACACCAAAGGCCCACTAAAAAAAATCGCCCAATTTTTTAATAATTGATGCAGATCTCCTTCACCCCAAATGGCTCATATTCTATTCATATCTAGCGAAAACCTGATGTTAAAAAAAAAATACAGTTATCCTAGTTCGCCAGGTATTAGTAATAATTTATTAATGTTTATTATCGTCTTGTTTACTCACCACATCGGAGGCTGTGGTGAAGGTTTTACTGAGGAGACTCTCGATAGCCAACCATTTTATCGGACGGTTTTCGTTATCACCGAGGCAGTGATAGTCTTGGGGAAAGAGATCCCTGGCGAGGGCATTATCAGTGATCTGTACTCTGAGGTCATCATCAACACTGAAAAATAATAATAAAGCAAATGCATTCAATTGACTCCAATTCATAATGCGATTAAAAGTCCAATTAAATCCAATTAGATTGTTCCATTGATTCAATTTCAAGGAATGGAACGGGATAATTGGATCATACGAGCACGTGATTGCAATAAAATCACGCTATTTTCAACTGAAAGTAATTCAGCCGAAAACAAAGGAGCAAAAAGAGCGGAACGAATATTTTAAGAGTGCGGGAGGGATTCAATTCAATTTTTGCTCCCGATTACGCTACAGTGAGCGTATTCATGAGAGCTTTCTTCCTTTATGGTAAAACGCAATAAACGATATTATCTCTGACAAATAGAATTTCTATGGAGACTTTTGTATAACGAATTTAGAGGTGGATATGGAAGTCTTGTGGTTTGCCTTCCATTCCAGCTCTACACAGAATTCTCTAACCAATACAATTATTTCATAATACTATTCCATTATTGAATTGTAGTACTAATTGCATTTTTACGACTGCATAAATGAGAATGGGAGAAACGTCAGCATGAAAATGTTATTTGTAAAAGAAATATTCCCGCGGAGCTAATGCGTCTTATGTTCCTCGAAATTATGGAAAATCGTGACAACATTTGATTGTTAATTGGAATTTTTGAGGATATTCTATTGTAAATTCACAATTCGATGGAGAAATGGATGAAAATTTCCCCACAAAAATCACCAGAGATCTGGCAACTCCATGAAAAATATTCTTGAATCGCTGAAAGTTTCCGAATCATCCCGCAAATAAAGTGCCTCATCTGCTAAAAGTCTGAAACTCCCTCGAAACTGAAAACGTCATGAGTTTTTTTTCTATAGCAAATAGCACTTTCCTGACACGTACTAAAATTCTCACCGAATGAGCTGTCACTGAAATTCCCGAAAGGTAAAAATGTTGGAGTGAAAAAAAGTGTGAACTTACACGCAATTTCTCGCTGCTAAGTCCCGATGCACCAGTCGTTTTCTGTGTAGATACTGCACCCCCTTGGCAGCTTGAAGGGCCATCTCAACGACTTCCTGAGTGGTTAGTGCCCTCGGTGGGCCCTCACTGCTCTGTTTGCACCTCAGCAAAAACCTCTTCATGTTCCTATACCCAGTGTGTGGATAGAGTAAAAATGGTGCACTCCTGTCCTCAATCGAGACACCAAGAACTGGAAGGAGAGCCACATGACTCAATCCATACAGAGCTAATCCCTCCCGTAGTAATAGTGCCACCTATTCAATTCAATTCAATTCAATGTAATTATGATAGTAATAAATAAATAGACGAGATATTAACTATCAGTCATATTTTTTTTATTCCAACGAAAAAAGAGGGTAATATATTATTAATGTTGTATTAATAAAAACCGAGAGATTCCATGAGAATAAAATGACATGACAAAATATATCGGTGACAGATTTATTTTTTTAAAGAAAGCGGATTGGCGAGTAAATAGTGGTAGAAAAAATAAAATTATAACAAATTGGATGTGAGTATCGAGGAGGTAGTGGAAAATTGGTTCAGGAATGGGATAAAAGTTTGAGGTATCAGCGAAATTACTCACCTGGGACTGAGAGGCATGTTCTGCTGCGGTTTTCACGAGAACTTCTCGGGGTGTTGTTGCACCCTCCTCATGGTAACTGCCTCGGTAAACCCGGCCGAACGTACCCTCCATTTCGATGCTTAAAAGACGCACTCGACATCTGGAAAGAAGAGAGAATTTTATTGCTGACGCTTTTCTCCCTTTTTTCCATCTATCAAATCGGCTGGGTTATGCATTTTATTGGTTTTATTCTGCGGAGAAATATTTGCTGTTCTCGGGCGAGGATAAATCACGAAAATAGAAATAATGATGGAGGAATAATAATTCGTGTCAATATTTTTTTCCACATTTCAACGTTAGAGATTTCAGAATTTAGACCGGTTTTTCTCGGTTTTCCATTTTTCCCGTAATTATTATTTTTTTTTCAAAAATAATTCTATTGGTTTCATTCCACTGAAATATTTTGATTTCTCGCGTGCATGAGAACATAAAATTATAATTATAAATATTCAATTACTGAAGCATAACATTTTCTGCATTCAGTAATTTTTCCGTTCCTTTCTTTTCGGATTACTAAATTTTATTTTATAAAATTAAAAAATGATTTCTAAAAAATAAATTTTTCTCATAAAAATTATACTCGTTGAATTAATCTCTCGATTTCAATATTTTTGTTGGAAATTGGAGAAAATGATATAATCAGAGAGAAATCTCAGGAGTTTACCAATAATAACAGTAATGTCTTCAATACGAGAATTTTTCCCATTTTTTGTGTCAACCCCTAGGGTATCGCCAGCATCCCTAGTGTCCCTCATCAATCTTCATTATTCCACGACACGTGCGCAGTGGTTTCTTCATTGAGAATCATAGGACAGTACGTCACGTATGGCCCCGAGCTCTGATCATCAAAGAGGGATTCCGTGTTGTCGAAAAATAGGAACATCATGGGGCGTGCTGATAGCTTTACTAGATATTGAGTGAGGATATTAATGTACTCTAGTCTATTTTCGATTTGCAGGCGTCGCGGATCGAATGTTCCGATTGGTAATGAAAAATGAGGTGCATTTACACCATCAGTGGTGTATCGATCGATTTCAATCGATATGAGTCGATAGAAGTCGATATGAATCGATATGTGTCGATTTAACTTGATTAGCGGTCATGCCAAATTAAGAATAAAATATTTCCGTGTGTGCAAATACGTAAAAAATAAATTCCCGGGAGTACTCGACACGTTTGCATTCGTTGATCGATTAGTACCGAGTCTGTATGAAGATAAAATCAGAATTGAGTGGTAAAACCAAGTAGTCGAGGCCGGGGATCGTGTGTACATGTGCAGAAGTGGTTGAAACGTGACTTCTCGACTGTCACTCGAGGTAGACCTGGTGGACTCACTGCAATATCAGGAACTTTTTCTCCTACAACGGACACTCGACCCAGAAAATCTATTGTTGGCTCGACATCAAAGAATATTTTCTCTTCAGTTTCTATTTTTTTTTTTATCCATCCTTTCACCATCTTTTTTTCCCCTACCGTAGTAAAGACGTGTTTTGACTTTTTTTTTTTGTCGTCATGATTTTTATCCTCGGTATTCTTGTTCAAATGTCAGGGGAAGATGGATTTCAAACGAAATGGAAAAACATTGTCGTTGATTTATACCTTTGAACTGAGTAATTTCTCGAAAGTCGGGGGTCTTGTGTCGTGGGATAATTGATTGTATTTTTAGATTGAATATTTTTGCCCGAGTTTTCGGTCTTTGGGAACGGAGTCTTTTTTTCATCCAAGAAATTCTAGTTCTGGAATTTCATAACAAATTGTTTGGAGTTCCTCCTAAGGTTTTTTTTAAATATTCAATGAAACCTGAAATATTTTCATCGCTCGTGAGATTTTTCTATCTTCAACTGAATATTTTTGCCCGAGTTGTTTTTTTTGAACGGATTATTTCGTTTCATTCAAGAAATTGTAATTCAAATAATTATTATTAATAAATTATTTGGTGTTCAGGGTATTTCACTGAATATTCAGTGAAACCTGAAAGACTTTCACATAATGAAATGTTTTTTTATTGAAATAAAATGCTCAGTCATTTAAACTGAGTGATAAAGACGAGTTGTTACCTCTGAACAGTAATTTCCTGGATTCTCTCATGCAGCTCCCGACTTGGACGATCATCAAGACGCCTGTAGCTAGTAGCGGAAGCACAAGAAGGTGGTGGTGGTGTTTCCGGTGATAGGAATGTCTGTGCTGGTCCAATTCCAGTGCCTCTTTCAACACTGCAGGCAGAACTCAAGCCCCTGCTCTCCCTAAAGATAAAAACCAGACAAAACCCCACATTTTATTTAATTCCACGCGAGTACACATCAATATTCTTGCAAAATAAAACAATTCCGCTGGTATTACAAAGAAAACCCCAACGAATAATCACAGAGATGGAAAAAATGAAAATTAAAGATAAACTCACTGCAGAGGATCCCGATGTCTCCTAGCCTTCTTATCCCTGACGTAATAAGCAACAACTAGAACAAGTATTGCTGCAATGAATGCACATGCACATCCAACAGCAGCATAAAATATTTGACCGCCTGATGTTGTCCCAGATGCTGCTACGAGGACCTCCTCTGGGCTTGGATAAGTGCTTTTATCCTTCAGACATATTTTTTTCCTCTTCACCTCGAGTTTCGTTGTGTTTCTACGATTTTGTGCAACATTAATACGAAGAGTCAAGTCGACCTCGGCATCGTATGGCCCACAGTGAAGGTTGAGTGCCCAAGTTTGTAGCTCTCCCACGGGGATTTCACCAGCTTCCGAGATATTGAAAGAGCTTTTTAATGCCGAGGGATTACTCACGTCAACTGCCATTGTGTAAGGCAGCTGAAACACAGGAAAATACCAGACATTTGAATATTTTTACGGTGCAATCTGGATTAATCTACTCAATGTTTTCACTGAAGTCAAAGATGTTCATTGAAAATTCATCGAAATGTCCGTTCGCCTATTCTTTAATATGAATAGAAATCATAGAACTATTAATAAAAAATGAGAAATATTTATTTATTACGCAATATATATTGCAATTAATTTATTCTTTTGACACGAAAAAAAAAATCTATTATCAGTAAAAAAATATAGATTTTAAAACATGTAATTTTAATTCAAAGTAAAATAATTGAAAAAATAATGAAAGCGGAACGGATGATTCAGTAATTAAAAAAACATTTGCACAATGGTAATCTGGTTAATTATTTCCGAAAAATCATTTCGCCAGTGGCAATGATTGACGATAATTTATGTAAACTCCCTGTTATTTGTCGCCTACAGTTCGTTACCCCATTCAACAAATCCAGGTATCTCATCCATATTTATGAGACAAACGGCAGCAAACTGGATCGGACTACATCTCGTAATGAACCGGTTCATCTCCACAGTTCACCTCGAACTCAGTAAATTAGTTCATGAAGTTTACAGAAAATTATCCCTAACTGCGAGGGTCTAGGATTACACGGAGAATTTATCCTCAAGTTCGCCCGGATTATACTCCGGACTCTATTTAAGAAAATGAGTATTCGACAGAATAAATAAAATAGCAATGAAAAATAAATATGAGGGGTGAGGGAATTTCACAACATCCGTGTATTCTACACGTGGAAAAACAAACGAAATGAGCGAATGCAAAAAAGGAAAAATGGGGATGAATAAAGGAGGAGAGGAAAAAATAATTGAGAGAGATAACAGATATTGGCACATCGTAACTTTTGCGAGAATGGAACTCCTAGTTATCGTTCTCTCGTTTCTCTTCCTATAATCTTTGTTCGGGGAAGGTAATTTTCGTCGAGAGGACTATCTCCAGGTTGTACTGAGGCACAGTTGCCCACCGGGGAATTGAGCTCGATACAAAACCATCGGATGAAAAAGAGAGAGACAAGACACTGATTACTGCACCTGACCACTCATCGACTGCAAATGCCTCAGTTTTCTACGTGAACTGCTTTTACGATCCACGAGAGTTTAAATCCGTTGGCATCCTTCGCCAATTCATGACTTCTTGGGAAAAATCAGAGAGAGATACTTTGTCGACAAGGATTTATCTTATTATATTATTATTTCCACATCATCCTCATTACCTTCTGCGCAACACATCCGCGTGACATTTTAGTTCGACTTTTTTTACGAAAAAATTCGGTTGGAATAATTATTATTAATTATTTGTAATAAAAAAATTACGTACAGCATAAATTTTGGAAGTTCATGAAAATTCCAGTTTTATGAATTCCGTAATTTATTACAATTCTTAATAAAAAAAAATAGGGTTGGACCATTTAATGTGAAATTCTGAAAGGTACAAGACGTGAATATCGAAGGCTTCCATTCGGAAGCAAAATAAATAAAAAAAAAATGAATGCGTGAAAGACGCGTGTCGGATTGACTCGTCTGTCCTCCACTCCCTCATCATGTCCATCAGGATGGAGTGAAGAAAGAAGGAGCATGACTCCTCTCGTCTCAAAGACAAAGTGGTCGAGCCACTTTCTTGCTTGTCCATTCGTTTCCTCTACCACCCAGTGTCTTCCAGTATTTGTCCTGTCCACAACAGCAAATTCCACAAGTGGAAACGAGAGGACAAGAGGAAGAATGAGGAAAGGTACGGCCCGTGCCACGACATCCGTCACCTCCCGACAAAATCCTCCACCTCTTCGGGATGTCCAGTCCTTTTAAACCAATCAGCCTGTCTGTCAACCCACCCAATCTCTCCCCAAACACCCCTTTTTTTATTTACTCTCTACCAATCGGAATTTCGGAGCAATTGCACATCTGAATAAAGGACAGCCAATACTGTGAAAAAAATCTATTAAAATCCGAAGCATTAATGTACCAAAGTTTGAAGTTCTTCCGATTTCCCAAAATCTAGAAAAATCTAGGAAATAATTACCCCGAAATTTCTAATGCCTATCCCCTTTTTGAAATTGTTCTCCACCCAAATTTTTCTTCAAGCCCCAAAAAATTCCTGTAAGATTAAACCGAATAGTTTCCAAAGGGAAGATTCTTACTAAATTCCCAGCAAATATTAAAAGTTGAACGAAAGATATTGAAGTGGCAAGGTTCTCGTAAAAAGGGAAGATAAGTTTGATTCTTCTCTGAAACACTTAAAGAATGCAAACAATGCTCATCAACTCCCGCTTTTCCCATAAAAGTGGATATCAAATGTCACACAATTCGACGTGATCATTCCCCCAGAGTATCAGTTGCCCCACAGCAACGTGAAAAGAATGAAACGAGACATCTGGAATTCCTGTAACTCTATCCCTCCACTCGCAAATGTCAAACGCGACGTTTTTTTATCGTCACTCGAATGCAACTCGGTGCAGATTAAAAAATGCCCCCCCAGAAATGGAAAGATATGGCTTGGTGACTGTTGTAAGTGCATGACCGTAAAGGATGCAACGATAAGTAGAGTAAAACGATGAGAATATTATATCGAACAACTCTGGCTCCAGTCAACCCTGAACCCTCGGAGTGTTTTCGTTTTACTCGTTGAATTCATATTGGAGTTCTCCACGGGTGCGTGACCATCCGATTTACATTCAAATCGGCATTTTTGGTGCTCAGCCAGCGAGAGCGAGAAATATACAATACTCGAGGTATATCCCGTGGAAATTCGTAGGAAAATTCAAAAATTATGAATGTACAGAATTTCAACATAAAATGTCAAATTTTCCGGAGAGTTGACATTTAATTGCACAAGATGTCAAGTCGATTAAATATGATGAAATCTCAGAATGAGACGGGAAATATAATTATTGATAGAAAATATTATTGTGTAGGAATTGGTGAATTAATTGAATGATTTTTAATGCAATAATATTTTTAGACAATTTCGTAGTATTTTGACATTTTTTATGAGAACTTGTTGGCCTGTCATGTCGATTAGGGCGGGGATATGGGAGTTGCAACTTTTGGATGGGGTAAATGAGGAAGATGACAGTGGAGATGAAATATTAATGCGAGAAACACGCAGAGTTGAGTCTCGAGTAATCATGGAAATGTTCTTACCGGTCTTCCGGCGAGATTCTGCCATGTGAAGTGAAGCTTGTGCACTTGGGCGGGTACTGGTACGTTAAACTTGATGGCATACTCGTTTATTACTCCCTCTCTTACGTAGAAAAGTTCTGCTTCCAGGCCTGCAACAGAAACAAATAGGGGAATGGTGAATCCGTAGATACGAGACTTTTCTCGAGTTCGATATGTGATTATTACTGTACAGAATCAACGTGCTGAACAATTTCATCTTAAGTCCGCGATAAATTCGACAATTCAAGGGAATTTCACATTTTCCCATAGAAAGCTCAGAATTTTCCGGCAAATCGAACAGAATTTTATTTCGTTTATGGTTTTTTAAGGTAGGGTAGGCAGGATTAAAATGAATTTCAGATTTTATTGGAAGTTATAGAAAAATTATTAACAGTGGAATTTGATCGATTCACTGAAATATTTTTGAATGAAAGATTTTTCCCGCAAAAATCAAATGCATGAAAACGGGATTTTATAAATCTCAAAATACATAATTTTGAAATTTACCAAACATTGAAATTTTCAATTATTAAAAAAATGTAGTCAGTGGTTTCAATTTTTTTATAATGAAATTGTGGGTCATTTTTTCAATTTTGAAAATTATATTCTCATCTGTTATTTTTTAAAACAATATTTCGAGTTGTAGATAGTTTTTCGATCCGTGATTTAGAACGGATTGCCGACATAAAAGAGGTGCGGCGAATTTAAAAAATGGGGAATTGAAAGGTGAAAATCGTGGAAGAATACGAGACACAATGGGATCGGGTCAGCCTCGGAAGATCCTCAAGAAAAAAATATATAAATAAATAAGGGGGAGTCACGCTCCTCGTGCACACGATATCCGATACGAAAAACCAGTATTTCTCGAGCTCTCATCCTCTTTCTCGAATCGAACTGCTGTCCTTTGGTAAATAAGGGCCTTTTTCCAGGGGGACTTGATATCGTTTCGCCCAACAACCCAACGGTCACGAAACATCAGTCGACACAACACTCATCCCCTCTGATCTTTATTTTTCTCCACCCAGTGTTATCGGACACGAATTATCGCCAATGGCCTGGAATCCTTGGAAAGGTGTCTCTTATTCCTTTCCACATTTTAGGCACTTGTTTGCTCGCGATGAAGATACGTGAAAAAGAAAATAAAAATTCGAGAACTCGAGATAATCCTCTTGATAACAGTTGTACCATTTTTTTTTTAGAAAGTTGATGAAGAATTTTTAGTGATTATTATGTGGCAGCTGTTTTAGATTACAACGAATTTGCAACGGAATATAATTAAAAGGAAATAAATAAAATGGGATGTGCTCACTCACTGGGTGAGAATGGAATTTTACATTCATCTCTATTCCCCAGGACATCACGATTGAATTAATTCCCCAGACGGCAACATAATTTTCAATTTTCCCTCTGAACATTTTCCATCGACAATTTTTCCCACCACGTCGGGATAATTCCATTCCCTTTGGGGGAAAAAAAAATCTCATTTCCCTGGAAAATTTATTTTCCACTGCTCGACTCTACTCCACAACTGCACTCATTTATCCACAAAACGGATTAAAAAATAAATCCAAACCTGGCGGGATGGAGTATCCGGATAAATTCAAGTAGAAATTGACGATGAATTGAAATAAATCAGAATGTAAATTTGGAGTTAACTTCATTTGAAGGATTCACATGGCAAAAAAAAATATGTCAGTTAAATATTCTTGACAGAAGACCAGTTTATTAGAATACAAATAAAAAAAATGAGACCAATATCAAAAATTGAATTTTTTACGCACGCAGTGCGCAAAACTGCTCTTTTATTCACTAGTGCCGAGAATAATTTTTCATCCACTCAACATTTATTCTTACCCCGAACTATCAATACGTCAAAATATATCAGTACAGAAAATTCATGGGACTAGTGAGGAAAAGTGAGATTTTCCGCACGCAGTGCGCAAAATGGTATTTTCTTGAGTAAACTCCCAAAAACGATTTTCCATTGAATCAATAGGATTTATTGTTAACCCCAAAGTGGTAAATTTTGCATATCTGTTTTCTCTGAGTATTTGAACAACTTTTCCTTTGAGCATTGGAGAATGAGTGGTTATCGATATAATAATTCTCGGTTGGATGGAGACGATGCGCATGGAAGGGCCATTGTCGGTAGCCAGTATCCGGCTTTGTTCATTGTTCCCAAGACTACCACATACGTACATTCATGCAGGAATATGCGTTTTTACTCAATTCCCCTTACCTTCCCCCAAGTGTACGCTTGGCTGAAAGTTAAATTAGGTTTGCGTCTCTCGAGTGCATTCAGCTGGCTACAAAAGCCATCCCTTAATGTGTGAATATGTTGTCTTTAGATTTTTATAGACAACCGGGGAGTGATAAAAAAAATAGAATGGGCTCATAGATGACGAGGGAAGGGGGCAGAGTTCGTGGGAAAATACATACCTGCGCTTTTGCGCACTGAGAACAAAATTTTTCGCCAGAAAATTTATAAGAAAATTCGCAAGTTTCATTTGATCATATTTGATGATTGAATAAATTAAATACGTGAAAATTACATTAAGATTTAAAAGTTTGCAAATCGTTATGAAAATTTCGGTGGATTTTTATTTTATCGTAAAATATTCCGAGAAATTTCCTCTAGAATAATTTTTTCAATGAGCAATATATTCCGCATAAATAATTCTCCGATAATATTCTATTGCAAATTCCATGGAAAGGCGTATGTGTCGTAAATTTTTGAGATAAGAAAAATAAAACAGCGTTTTGCGTAAGAGAATGAACTTTATGGTTTTCCTCGCACCAATAACTTCTTCTTAAGCACAAGTGAATGAATTCCCGATAAATAAAATGGTAGAATAAATATGAAACAACACGAAAAACCCTACAACATTGCAGAAATAAATACCCTTCGTAAACCCTCGATTTTATGACCAGTGACTGAGCAGAAATATGAGAATTGGTTTGTTCGGAGACCTTACGACGATATCCTGCCGTCGATTCGCCTTTTATTCTCTCCTATCCTTTTATTTTCACCGTTTCCTTTACTTTTTTTTACCTGCAGGGACTCAGCCCCCGTATGAGCAAGAAAGAAAAATAAATAATGTCCTGTGTGTGCAAAAGAGGAACCCGAGATCGTTGGATATTCCTCCGGCTGTATTTCACACTGAGGGCTAGCCTCCTACACGAACAACGCACCTTAAAAAGACATTTAAAAAAAAAACACCTGTCAAACACGCGGTTGCGTGGATTAAAACTCGGGGCCGTAATTTTTTTATATTTATAGGCCCTCGGGATACAATACTCGTGATTAGATAATGCATGTCGGGTTTTTCGGGGGAAATGTGTCCTGGGATGCCAGAAATTTACGGTGGGTATCTGACATTTCTCCAGGGAATGAAGTTTCCATTTTTTCTCATGCTCTATTTTTTTACATTTTTCCCATGAATTTCATTGAATTTTCATTGAATTTTTAATAATTCTCCACAAAATTTTCCGGAGAAAATAAGTGAAAAATGAAAAATAAGTGAAAAATGAAAAATGTTGTAACTATTGTAATTGTAATTCACAATTAATTTAGATTCAAATATTTTGGAAAATATTTTGATTTGACTACTCTATCATTTTTTCGAATCCTCCAAGTTGAAAAAAAAAAAAACATGGCGTGACCTAAAAAACCGAATTTGTCCGCAATGATCTGAAGCTGAAGCCATAATATTCCACAAATATTTAATGCCCTATGTTAGTTATTTCCATTATTCTGAAAGTCCTTGTAAATTATTTGCATGAGCCACATCTCCCGAAAAATAAAAATATTAAACCGCGATATTGGGTTTAGGTGAGTCGCCCCTCGCACACGTGTGCTGAATGTATTCTCTCCGGTGATTTCAAGATAGAATCTCGAGCCAATAAGTCTACCTGTTTTCGAGTACTTGTATTCAGAAGCCTCAGATGTTGCAGGGGCAAAAGGACACGAGCAAAAGAACAATAACAAGGGCCAGGGGGCAGAATACCAGCTATCGTCGGTGCCCTCGTGGTTCCGGCTGCCATTTATTTAATTTTTTTTTTATTCTCTCTTTTTATTTTCCTCGAGGGATCGAAGGAGATACGAGCCGGTTAACGAGGCACGAGTAAATTTTTAAATCACCCCAAGACAATACCTGTGTCTCTACCGAAAAGGAGTTTACGATGGATCTGATATCCGTGAAGGACTTTTCGTATTTCTTTCCCTCGAAATTACATTTCTTCTTCAAATCCACATTTAAAATCCAAAAACTCAATAAATCCACTGAATAACTAATTAACAATTTTTTCACGGTCTGTTAATGATTTTTTTAGAGTCGAGAATTGCTGATTGGTCGATGACACATGCGTGAAGTTGGTTACATTTTTCGCGCGTAATTCAAATCGACAAAATGCAAGTGTAATAACATTGGAGATTAACAATGACACGCCAATTAAACGGGATGGTGAAATAATACTTCAAGAACAATAATGGAAATAAAGAACCACAAATTTCGTAATCAAATCCACGAAACAATCTCCCTCGAACTGCACTTTGAACCTGTCCTCAAAGTACTGCTCATTCCATCTCTGTACAGCCCCCGGTCTGACCTCGTTACCACTTTCATCCCCTATTCCTACACGACAATCCACTCCCCTTTGACTTGTCTTCCGTGCAATTACAGTTAAAACCCCATGGAGTATTACTTTCCCATTCTCTCAAACCCCCGGACAAAAACAGTGAAGTTCTGGGATTCTTGACCGGGTTTCAAGTCCCCTGGAGTTATCCGAATAACTTCAGTAAAAGTTTGAGTGAAAAAGAAAACGACACGAGGGGCTGAGGGAGTGGGAAGGAGGGGTGAGTAATAGGAGAAAAAATAGGCAACGGTAAAAATGTCTTTGATGTCTGAGTACAACGTTTTTCAGAGTAAAAACAGCCCTTTTGAGAAAAGGCGTCGACCCTCGAGGTGCCCTGGTGCCCAGACACAATTGTCACGAGGGACATGCCGGCACTTCGGGGTTTTAATTTCTCCTTTTTTTTCCTTCTCTTTTTTTTTATTTCCTCGCTTTTGCCAACCACTAGGTAGAAATCTCAGCCCTATCCACTTTTTAT